TGTTTATGTACATTTTATAAAAAAAAAAAAACATTTTTAACAGGAATTATTTCTTTCTTTCCGAACAAAAAAAGGTTTATAGTATACAAAAGATATTCAAGTATAGGAGGCTACAACCTAATATTGTTTTTTTTTATTACATCTTGTGCCTATAGAAAATTAAGGAAGAAACATTGTTAAGCATGTGTATTTGTACAATATCAGAGTCATGACTACATTTTATCCTTCAATTGTTAAAGATATATGTGAAGCAGCTAGGATTCTAAACAAATCAAATATATACGATGTCAAGAGTCACACAGAAGGCAGCAGGAAAGGTCATAATACTGCATTCTGTATTCGACTTTTGGACAATTTGTCAACCTGACTTTATCCCTACAGAGGGTCAGCAAAGTATGTAGTACTCTTTCATACAACTCTGTCAGCCGTCTTATCTGAGTCCACTTTCTGTCCAAACTTTTTTTGGCCTTCTTCTACCCTTGTAGGCATCCCGTTAAATGTCATTACTTTTTTGTTTATATGATTATCATCGTGTTTTCGCTATCGACATTGGTGACAAATAAATTTTGGTTATAATATTATACGAGTAAGTGTAATTTATTGAGTCCCATATCGGAACTGGTAAATGCTTTATAATCGTGCAAGGCTTATTGATTTGTAGCAACATGAGAGCATTAAAAACACATTATATTTAATGTGTATTGCTTAAACTGCTAGAGAGTATTTTTCACTCGTATTTTTAAAATTTAATATAGAAAACATTATGAAGCAAACATAATACTCACGTAGACTGCAGTTCTTATTTGGACTGCTAATATGTTTTGATTCTTGTGGAAAAATAAATATTTCTGTCTCATGTATTTTATAGAAAATTACACAATATAGAAAAATATATTTGTTTATAAAATTATATATTATATATATAACTTGTAGGCAATATTTTATAATTTTTAAATTCTAATTTAAATTGATAATTGTACGTTATTATCTAGAAAATACCTTAGGGAACAATGTCATCAAACAAAAAATATCAAGAATAGGCAAAAACTCTAAAATCCAGTTTCATAATGAAGCTAAGTCTTTTCATTCAAATTAATTACAACAAAAACTAGTTCAATGTCGACGACTGCAGTTCATGGGCAGTCATTATATGAGATATTTTTAAACCAAATTGGTTAAATTAAAACGAGAAAGAAATCAAATTAGTAATTCTGTGGTCATATAAAAATAAAGAGAATAATCATCCAAACCAGATGGCTTAAATATGACAATATGCCGTCAAAATATCAATCAAAATAAATTAATTTAAGGCATTTTGTCATTTCTTGTAATCCTCCTTTATACCATCGTGTCATCTTGTTACAATTTTGACACATTGTCATGTCATGTGTCATATCGTGTCGTGTGCAAAATACCTTTTCTCTTACAAAAGACACAGTATCTTTGAGAATTCTCTCTTTGTATTTTTAGTCATAGATTTACTAGTTTTCGCCTACGAATAAGACTGTCCGGAGTTAAAAAAAAAAGAATTATGAGTTCTTCCAGACAATATTATACATTAATGTCATTTCAGCGAGATCCTATGAGCCTTTCTGAAGCAAGATCCATCCATCCATTCGTCTAAACATTTTCATTTATACAACATTAGTAAGGTTTAATACGCAAAAAAACTTTACCATTCCTAAAAATATATACAAGTACATATATGCCGTGTAAAATGAAAATCCATTCGGAAAATAATTGGAGGAAACCACTTAAAAGATTAATATTCTATATGAGTCGATTCGTTGGCGTTACGACCGCCTGCAATAAATCATTTTATGGACAATTTAATTAATCCCGTTCTTTCGAAGAAAAAAGAAAACAATAAACCGAAAGCGATTACAATTAATTAAGCCCATACAATGGAAAATTCTGATTTCCCTCTTATCAACAATTTATCTTTTATGTCAAATCTACTTTTAATTGAAAGAAACCCTCATTTAAATGTTAGTAAATTGGCTTGTCTTCAAATAAACGTGTTAATCCTTGCTATTTTAATTTGGAACGAGAAAGGAAATTACTCAGTCACTAGCTATCGCTCACGACTCCGTCCGCGCGGAATTGAAAAAGAAACATAATTAGTAGCCTACGTGATCTTCCAGACTTCAGTATTGTTCCAAATGTACGCCAAATTTCATCGCGATCCGTTCGGCCATTCAGGAGTTATCTACAAACAAACATCATCTATCCATCCATCCATCTAAACATTCGAATGTATAATATTAGTAAGATTTACAACACTGATAATTTCTCATTAATGTAAATAATATTATGCAATATTTTCTATTTCAGTTAAGTATTAAAATAAGTTGTAAGTTTTGTTTCTTTTAAATTTAATTTGCATACAGTTTTTTAAGAGAGTTGGTCCCTAACTACTTAATACAAGTGGATCTTCAGACTTATGTCCTGATAATTAAGTACGCTTGACTTTCATATGACAAGGTTATTAAATAAACCAATGAAACTGTTAAATTAGATTTTTATATCGAAATTACATTTTGCAGTTCTAACATAATTTTATGTCGCAAAAATTAAAGTTAAATTGAATTACAAAATGAACTTAATGGTTACTCATTTTGAATGATAGCTGAGCTTAACCACTTATTCCATAAATTTTCCTTATTAATCCGTTCCGTTCTGGCGTAGAGTACACTCACCATAAGTTATTTCTCGAACCATGTAAAATATTACAAAAATTTTAACATCTTAATACTTTTTATTTATTTTTAGTATTAGGATATTTGTTATTCTAAAATTACAACAACTTAATTAACAACGACATTATTGCGTTCTGTATTGACATATTTTTTTAAGTCTTTAAAAACTTAGACGAAACGTTCTTAGTACGTGTAGGAAAGTTTATAATTTCTAAATATTTCCTATCCTATTTTTTCCTAATTCCTAAATTTTGAAACTAAAAATATGAACATAATTTTTTTTAAGGTATGTTTTACTAAAAATATATCGAAACGAACATTAACTACAATTCCTATGTGAATTTTATAATAAAAATTTAAGGCAACATGGATAAGGTACATCCTTAAAAAACTTACATAAATGGAATAACTAATAAAATATAAAAAGAATGTATGTTTAAGAATAAATTGATATCTATTTTATTTTTGTTATTATTCTGATTAATATGCAGTTTCCTACTATCGACTTCATACATTTTCGGGTAATAACACGAAATATCATCAGAACTTCGAATGGCATTTAGTAATGGCGGATCAATGCGTTGCAACATTATTCTCTCATTATCCATTCGCTGTCAGGGTTCGTAATCACCGCGCGGGCCTTTAAATTAGAGCTAACGGAATGGAAGCGACATCATCCTATCAATGCATGTAAATGCGACCCGGCGCACGGCTTTCACTGACAAACTGAAGGTATTAATTAAGCTTCGTTTTTGCTGATTGTATAATGAACTTTCATATGCATGATTAATAATGTATATTGAAATTATAATATATAAAATTTTGAAATAAAATTACACGGAAAATATTTCATCATATGATTTACTGAGCGGTAAAACCTTTCAAGACTTGACTACTTATTGATTGCTTTTTCATATATAAAAACTTCTTTTATTTGGAGTGCACTATGGACATGTTACTTGCTGATAAAAATATTAAATTTGTACTCATTGCCCTAAGTCACAACAATTAATAACAATTAATCAACAATTATATCAAACAATTAATACCACGAAGATTGTAGTTCGCTATAATAAGCAAACAGTGTCTCTGTTCGCATTAAAAATTAGGAAAGAACTCGTGAAATACAGCTCCCTTTTAACGCCCAAACAATACACACAAGAACTTATATTTTAAACAATCTCTCCTTACAAAAGCAGATCCATTTCCTAAAATAATAAAATATGAAAAAAATGATAAAAATGAAAAATGTTTCTCTCATCTAAAAGCTTCTTTGGACGATTAATCTTTCCGCAGGCCCATTGTTAAACTTCAGGCCGGGTCAAAAAAAGTATCATGAGCGTGCAATTATTTCGTAATCTTCGCGAAACAATAAGAAATGCACAAAAAAATGTATCGGTGAAGATTAATATTGGAAGATTTTTGTCGCATAGAAAAGTTTACAATAATTTTCGATTAAAACTTTTTTTGTATACTGCCATCAAAATATATAATGGAAGCTAGAACTTCCGAACATAAAAAAAAACTTCTATAACTACAGATTATATCAAAAACAAATGTATATTTATATATGTATGTATGAGTTTTCTCTTAATCATTTTAAGGAGCTTTTACTCTACAAACCCAAGTTTAATCTCTCAAAACTAATGGATGGAACTTAACAGGCGCTAAAATACACAAATGAATATTCAAACTTTGTGCTACCTTGCGTCACAGACTGATTTATCTATTAACTCACAGAATTCTGCACAAACTAACATGTTTATGCAACAGTGTATGCTATAAATATATTAGTCTCCGTGAAATGCACAAATCAAATTATAATTTATTTTATTCTGATTTATATTCAAGCAATGTACACCAATATGTACACCCCCTACACCAATGTACTTAAAAGGCAGCGACTAAGTAGGAGTGGCGGCGCCTGGTAAAGCGGGTCACTAATACTTGATGACCACGACCAGTCTGACAAGACTATAACGACGAAGAAGAAGAAGAAGAGAATTCAAACAACTACAATGACATAATTTCTTTCTTGTATATGTTATTAATTGAAAATTATAAAAATAAAACTCTCTAAGTAACTGTTTCAACAATTTATTTAATATTGTGTTGTAGTCTACTGCATCTAACTAAACTAAACTTTGTAAATATTATCAACACCTGTAATATACTTTTTGACAATCACTATACGTTGCACCATCTAAATTAACTTATTTACAGCTTTAAGCTAACTACAACACTATTTAACAGTTTAAGTGAAACTAAAACATAACTTCAAGACCTACTTAACATGTTAAGAAATAGCTATGTCTATTTTAATTGTTCTAAAGACATTTTCCGATTTTTTGCCATGCCTAGTAATATATTATCTGTAGAAGCAGTAGTAGATTGCAAAACATCTTCTTTACTTTGTATTGAATGATAATCGTTCATTTCCGACCACGCTGGGTCAGATTTAGCTATACGTTTTCTTTCTTTGATTTTTGTGTATAATAAAACTGATACCATAACAAAAAATACTACAAATCCTAAAGCACAGCCTACAATCAGACCCATTCGTCGATTAAGTATAGAAGATAAATGAAAGGTTTTATTTGGTTTCATTTTTATAGAGTGCTTTGTGAATGTATCAAAGGTAACACATTCGCTTGAAGGCGACTGTGAAATCAACGTTGCGGCGTAGCTTCGACTGATGTTTGATGTAAATTTAAAATCACTGAGTGAAACATTCACTTCAGATATTTCCTCATCAATTAGTTTAGTAAAAGGATTCAGATCCAAAGTTAAAATACAAACAATGTAGTTTTTACTCGGAATCAAATCAGAGATAAGTGTAGATGTTTCAGATTTATCCAAATATCTGTATATCACCTGAAAACAACAGAAATAGTATATACTAAATTTCCTATCTTATTAATATTATAAACCCGAATGGTTGGATGTTTGTTTGAAGGTATCTTCAGGGCGGCTGTACGGATCTCGATGAAATTTGGCATACGTATAGGAATTAGTCTGGAAAAACACATGGGCTACTCATTGTTTTTTTTTTTTTAATTCTGCGAGGACGGATTCGTGGGCGACAGCTAGTGGCATATAACATTCTTCATACCTCCATTTAAGGGTCATTGCTCGTTGGATCCATTCGAAAGAGCGATGTTGGGAACGCTACGGTCAACCCGCTTAGCATCGCAAGCGGATACGTTTTAAATCTATCGACCGACTTATTTCATAGTACAATACTTACATCGGTAGTGATATCGTCGTCATAATACATTATTTGTAGAGATTTAACAGCTGTACGATTCCGGATGAACCAGGATACAGATACAGAATTATCTTTATGTTTGTCAATAGACAATTGTGTGATGGTCGGGAAATCACACTTCTCCTTAGGATATTCGTCGTTAATGCATGTCACAGCACTCGAGTCGATTATTTTCGGATGATCTTGTATCCATGTCCATGTATTATTTCTTTGACAGCTACACATTATAATGTTATCTAAAATAATAGATTACCAGTCATTTTGGTGAAGTTTAAATTGGATTTAATACGTTCTTTAACATGTGTATGTTACGTACCTTTTATAGATATTTCTTGAATGTGACTTTCAATTATTGTAAATAGATCAACTGGTATTGTTTGAAGTTTATTATGCTCTAAATCTATATGTATAATTTTGTTCAAATTGTTAAAAGCTGTGACTGAGATATATTTGATATTGTTAAAACTTAAGTACAGTACTGTTAGTTCTTTTAAATTAACTAAATCTTGGTTAAGTATGTTTTGTAATCTATTATGAGAAAGATCCAAAAGTTTTAAATTACTAAGGTCTTCAGTGAAAGTTTCTATTGATTCTATATAATTATTTGATAAACATAAAGCATTTAATTTAACGAGTCCTCGAAAATTGCTAGTTTTTACATGCGTTATTTTATTATAGCTGACATCTAAATTTTCTAAGAAATTTAATTTTGAAAAGGGACTAATAGATAGACGCCTTATTTTATTAAACTTTAAATATAAATGTTGCAAACTGAGAAATGAATCGAATGTGACGTCATCTAAATTAGATAAATTTGTATAGCAAATGTGTAATTCATAAAGGTTGGATAAAAGTGTATTATTGTTATTTCTACTATTTACTAAAGGCCATGATACTGCAGGATTTTTACTTAAGTCTATACTTATTAATGAAACTCCATTGATTTTGTGTGATAATAGAAAATCAAATCTAACTATATCGTTGTATGAAATGTTAATGTTCTGAATTTTCGGAAAGTTTTCAAACAACATTGATGGTACAGCTGTTAGTTTATTAAAACTTATATCCATTTCTAATAGTTCTTTAAAAATAACGTTATTCTTCATAGTGATCGATTGAATTTCATTTTTTCTTAATATTAAATGCTTTAATTTTTTTAATTTCTCTAAGCCGTTAAATTCTATTTTGGGTAATAAGTTATCGGCGATGTCTAAAATTTCTATTTGTGTAAGATTATTTAAAGTATTATAAGGAACATAATCTAAAAAATTATTACTTATGTTAACCTCAGATACCGAATTGTATGATTCAAATAATATAGAAGGTATTCCGCTAATAATATTCTGTGCTATATTTAAACGTACAAGATGCTTGTTGGAGGAAAAAGTGCCTTCAAAAATATGTTCTATATTGCAATGTTCTAAAAATAAAACTTCTAAAAGAGGAAGTTGTGAGAATGATTCAACGGGTAAGTTATCGAATATATTGTATGAAAGTGACAAAAACTTTAATCCGGGTATATCAATAAATATTAATTCGCTAGATTTCAGTGAATTATTTTTAAGTGATAGATATTTAAGATTGTTCATACCTTCGAAAGTGCCATTTTCTATTTGTTGTATCTCACAATTGTCTAAATATAATGAACTTAATGGTAATCCTTGTTGAAATAGATTTTTATATAGTATTTTAAGCGGATTAAACGATATATTTAAAGTACGTATTTTTTTTAAAGTATCAAATGCCATTGTATAGATAAAAGTGATTTTGTTATGTGATAAATTTAATTCTTCTAATTCAAACAGACCTATAAATGTATAATTTGTGACGTTACGTAGTAAATTATTGTGCAAATCTAAATTTCTCGCAGAACGTAGTTGTTGGAATGTAAAATCATCAATTATGGATATTTCATTATTGAAGAGTTCAATTCTATTTAAATAAGTCAAATTAGCGAATATATTTTTTGATAAAAATTTAATGTGATTATTTGTTAAACTTAAATGATAAAGCTTCTGTTGATAACGAAATGTTAAACTTTTTAATGACGATAATAAATTAGAGTCGATGGCGAATGTTAATAATGAAGAGCTTTGTTTTGGTAATATATCATTAATTTCAACTAAATAATTGTCGTGTAAACTTAAATGTTTTAAATGAGACATTTTTGAAAATGTCTCAGAATCTATGCTGGTTATTTTGTTATTATTCAAATAAATTTCATCAACTTTTGTTAAATTATGAAAATGATATTTTGATATGAATTTTAAATTATTATTATTCAAATGGATTTCACTTATCATTGCTTGATTAGTAAATGTATCATTTTTTAAATTTACAATATTATTATTGTCTAATCTTAAAATTGTTATATTACTGTTATTAATAAACGTATCGTGTGGCACTTTAGTTACGTAGTTATAATCTAAACGTAACGTACGTAATTCATCTAAATCACTAAAGCTTTTACTATGAATCGTATGTATACAATTTTTATTTAAATGTATCGTATTAATTTTAGTCGAATTAAAAAAGGAATCAATTGGCACTTCCAATATATTGTTGTTACCTAAAAATACTTCGGCTAATATTGGCATATTACAAAAGAGGCCGTGTATGTGGTGCAAATGATTGTGACTCAAATCAATAAATTCCAATTTCTTGTTATTTAAAAATAAATTAGTATTTAATACTTTGATTCTATTATGACTCAAATCTAAAGATTTGAGATGAACTAAGGATTGGAATGCACGATAATGTATATTGCTTATGAAATTAAAATGAAACGATAATATTAATAGGGACGGACAAAATTTAAGGCAGTCTTCAGAAACGAATTCAAAATTGTTCGAACTTAAATCTAAAAATTCAAGAGATGGTAAATCAAAATTATCAACGGCTGGAAAAGATGACATTTCGTTCCAAGACAACCTTAACGACCGAAGGTGCCTTAATTTGGCAATCGATATAATAGGGAAAGTTGTAAGATTGTTTTCGCTTAAATCAATTTCAGACAGAGTTAATTCTAAAGTAGAAAATGCAGAATCAGAAATATGTCGTATCATATTCTGCTTTATGTTTATTTTCATTAATGGAAGACCATAGAAACTATAACTTGGAATATCCTCAATATGATTGGATGTGAGTTCGATTGAAATCAGTTTGAGCAATCCAGAAAATGCCTTTTGTGGTATAAATTTAATTTTACTTGACACAATACTTAACGTTTCAAGGCACTGTCTCAATGGTATAAATGTTTCATCATCTATATCTCTTATGCCAGTTCTTGACATATGTATATGTTTTATGCATACACCTAACGGCACAAAATGTGGTCCCAATACTTCTTCAGTGTCATCTAAATCATTTATGGATAAGGAATGTACGGCGGATACTTTCTTCAGAGCATTTTTTATTTGCTTTGTATTTGAATCTTGGCAGTCGAGGAAAACAGCTGAAAAAATTTAACGTACAGAAATCTATATATATAAAAATCAATTGCTGTTCGTTAGTCTCGCTAAAACTCGAGAACGGCTGCACGGACTTGGACTTGTCTTGGTCTTGAAATGATCGTGGAGGAATAATAGGTGTCGAATAATTGCTGGGAAAATCCTTTAGGGCTACAGTTAGTATGATAATATTACAAAGATAATCTTTACTTACCATCTTCGAATGTGTAGCATGAGCATTTATCGTTTGTCATTAAATCTGAACACGCCAAGGTATTTTCAGCTCTGAATATTGTATAGAATACCAGTAATACTTGTATAACTTGCCGTATATCTCGCCCATTTTGCCTGTTTCCCGAAAATAAATTATTTATCATAGTTACATAATTCGTGGCATTTTAAATTTCCATATTAAACTTGCATATAAATCTGAAACAAATTATCTAAATCAATGAAGTGTACAAAAAAATTTGAAGTTATTCTCAGTAAAAATTTCACTAAAATAATGGTTAAAGTCGTCAAAAGGTTAAAAAAGTTCCATTATTAATTTTATAAAATCGTCATAGAATTTCATAACAAAAATATAAATTGAATTCAAAAACAAATTGTAAACAAAGGTTAGCTTAGTACAAAAATGTGTAAAAGAACGGATCGTTAAAACATTTTACAAAGTTGTGAACAAAGAATAACGACCTTGAAGTTTAAAAAAACAGAACAAAAGCAAACTGTTACTCACCTGAATATGTTATTACGTAGCACATGCTTGTACATAATTAATTACAAAACATAGTTATATCGTAGAACTTAAAGTTCATTTTCGCAAATCAACTGGACGCCGATTGCGGAGATTCACATGCGCATATCTGTTACTCAGTTACGTGGCGGTGTTGGAAGTAAAAGTATTTAACTGAACTTTTCTGATACTTTATGCAAGTTGTATGTGAACAAATTTATTGTGGAACGCAACACGGAACGCTGGAGGTCATTAGAAAGCTCGAGTGAAGACTGCCGCGGCGGCGCGCGCTGTGTAGGTCACCGCGTTGTTGCGGCACCCCCGACCACGACCCACTATTATTATACTTTTATGACGAATCGGATTTTGCCACTCGAGCTTTGTGTGAAGCCACCGCATAAGAGCTTATCTAACATGCATAACCGTTTATTTTTCGGCAAAATTTCATGCTACTTCATAAAATAAATATACTCGTAGTTCCAGTAAAATTTACAGCTGACGTATGTAGACATTAAAATACAAAGCTTTGTTGGGAACTACGTTAAGTTACAAAAATGAATATGTATTTTTAAATTACTCAACAATTTTATTACAAGTTATAAAACTTGATTACAAATAATAAATATCAAGTTTATTTAGTTGACAAGTTTCTATTTGAAAAAAAATATTGAAACTTTTTTCTTGTAAAGAAAATTTTTCATGAAAAGTAACGTTATTTATGAGAATTCAATTTGAAAAGTTTATACTATCTACATATGTATGTAGGCGGAAACTTCAGCTGAACGTTTCGCGTACGCTTTTGAAGTAAACAAATGTAGGTCACGAGAAAGGCGCTTATATTATACGACAACATTACAAATTCGATGACGAATATTATACACAATAATATCAAAAAAAAAAATGAATTAAAAACAAAACAAAACTAAATGTTCAGTTTAAACTACAGTTCCTTTATATTTTCATGGGCCCTCTGCCCCACTACGGGGACATAGAACTTTAAGTCAAGTCAAGTCCGTTGGGCCAATTGAGTTCATATAATAAAAACAATTCCCACTGGGCCAAATGATTGACAGGCAGAAACACCCATTTTTTTGAGTAGTTTGCTACTCAAATTTAAGCTCGTGTAAGGAAATGTAGCAAAGAACATGTTTTTTCAAAGAGTAAGTGTTTTGAATGTCTGTTCTTTTAAGTCTTAGTTATATTTTATTTGTTGTTTCTAATTTCAGATTTATTTCGTTGTTAAATCCAAAAGTAAAAGATTAAAGCCAGTTTTATGTCTCTTTTGTCCTTATACCATTATTTTAACCCCAATGAGAAAGATGGTTCACCACCTATTATCCTAGTTTAAATAGAACAACCGCAATATTGTCTTATGCCAAGTTTGATTTCGTTTTCACTTGGTCCAGTATGTCTGGATAAGAGAATTGTGGGTGTTTGGTTTTTGTTATATGACTTTTCTTCATTTTATGTGGACAGATTACTTTAAGATTGTACTATCGCTAAATACTCATAAATCGTAGTACACTTGTGAAGAGATAAGTGTAACGAATAATAAAAGACATCTATTAAATTAACCTTTTAACCTTTACCTGAATTTTAATGCCGTATATATTTTTTTGGCTTTTTTGACAAAATGCTGTGTACCAATGCAAAGGTAAAGAGATGGAGATAGACCAACACTTCAGCGAGGCTTCTTGTAAATTTAGCTCGTTGCCTCGACCCCAGACAGCATATAGGTCAGTATACTTGTCCTCTTTTACAAATTGTGGTCATAAAAATTAAAGTATTTGCTATTTTAAGTGGCAATAAAAGTTTTCCTTTTATCTTTTAAACTAATTTAAAAAGGCGAATGTTTACAAAGCAGATTTGCAACGGTAAACGAATCGGACGAATTTTGGTATCATTTTTCTCGTCTTTTAAGTTTATCGTTAGTTTGTCATTCTCTAATTAAATCAGCATGCTTCAGTAATACGAATCACAGAGCAAGACGATAGACTTTGAGAACAATAAATCTAGTTATTAACGAATATTCATCTATACTACAATTATGTATTAGAAAGATGTGATTGTTTATTTGTTTGCATTAAATAGGCTCCTAAACTAGTGAAATGATTTAAAAAAAATCGTTAATTGTAGAGAAGTTTCTCCAAGAAATTGAACATAGTTAATATTTATTTAATTCCGCATACACGAAGTCGCGGGCAACTGCTTTCCATTGTATAATTATTAGCATCTAGATCTCAAATTATATCTTCGGCTGTCTGTCCATCCAGTATAATTGCTTTACACTAATTTAAACACTAAATTATCTAGTAATCAAGTCTATGTTTACCTGGAATATGTTTGACGAAGTCATTGCCCTATTAGATATAATATCTTGTAAACAGAAATGTTATGTTGATCGTAAGCAAATGCGGGCTTCGGTCACACTGGACGAAGTCATTTGAGCGAATCAGTTTAATCTGGTACAAACACTCAAGCAACTTAGTGATTGACTCATTCTAATGAATTAACTCGGAAAACGATGTACTGAAAATTATAAAACTTGGACAGAATATAATGTATGTATGAATTGGCACTATTATTATGTAATTAGAATTAAATGTATGTTATTATATTTCAATTTGTTCCAATTATCTGCCTAAATTTTCTTCTAAAGTTAACGAATAGATTACAAACTATTTATTATTTTGTTTCATAATTTAAAAGTAGACACAGTAAAGAATGTTTTTATAAGTTTTAATCTGTGGTAATTACAAATTTATTAAAAACATTTTTGTCTTTTTCGAAGCTGGGTTTTACTGGTTAATAATGATCGGTGGTGTTATATAAAACATTAAGAGGTGAAATAGGGATTTAAAGTAAGTTTCTAAAGCCATTTTAAAGGTCTTTATTTACTTACACTGGCCCAAGGATGCAAGAGTTTATCAACCGCATTCATCAGAACTTTCTATCTAATAGAATTAGTCGTAATAAAATGACACTCTAATATTAGAAATAAAAATTATACCACAGTTCAAAGAACTTTAATTAATTTTACAAGAAAAAAAAAACTTAATAAAGCTTATTTTTATAGCTTGAATATAACGCGACATAACGTGTTACTTGAAAAAATACATTATATTACGATGTAAAGAAAAATATGATTATTTACAGTCACGCAACAAACTCATTTGTTATTGATAGACATTTTCTTTAGTCTCATTAAGTTACCTTTGACGTAAATCAGCTTTGGGAGCTTGTTATATTACACTATAAAGTAATATCGTAGGTAGATAATGATTAACGTTCAATAGACATGAAACAATTTAGATAGGTGTCGCAAAATTATTATATTAATACATTTTATATTGAAAATGGTTACAAGCTAGAATATTGTTAAGTGATATTGGGCATCAAATATTATGGGTCTCATCGGAAATGTATCGATACAGTAAATAATTAGTTAAGTCTAAAATATCAGTACGAACGATATCTAAGTTTATATACTGTTGTTAGCACGAAGGTAATTAAATTATTATATTTTCTACACCTGTACTTATACTACAAATGATTATTATGTTATCCATGAGTCAAAAATTCCGAAGTCAAAATAGACATGACACCTCTATCCCCAAAATTGAAGCTGGGACGGGACATATGCTATATATTATAGGCTACTGTAATTAAATTAGCATACATATTTATAAACCAATATTCTGATTATAACATACCCGCTAACATTTTATCAACCTGTCAGTCATGCAAAAAGAGAAAATACTCATATACAAATCTATTGTTTGTCGTTGAACAAATGCAACATTATAAAGATATGTCGGTTATGGTAAATGAGCTAACTTTCCTCATTAATATTCAAATTGACTGTAATAACTTTACTGCTACATCGAACGTATCGCGGTTTCGTGACAGAATATAACTTTAAAACCATTGTTTTCTTTTATTACTTTCAATTATATTTCTAGTTAACTCAGCCCTAATAAATTAAGTCAACAAATTAGTAATGATTTAAATAGTTTACTAAAAGTAAAAAGATGCTTGATTTCGTTGTAGTTATTAAAAAAACGCGTTTTAGATAGAGTTCGTCGCTACGTCAAATTAATCGAGTGTTAGCCAGGCACGTAGAGGTATTTTGTCATTCGTTCCGTAGACCGTAGACGTGAGGACAATCGCTTTATCGAAGCCACGATCAGTCTGACAGTGTTATTACTCTGTGGTTAGTCTGTTTTTCTTTGGCATTTTTTTTTCTTTTAAACAAATAGTTGCAATTCAAGTCGGAAAAACAAATAAAAGGTATTAAAAGTATGTACTTCCGTATAAACTTCAATATATATTGAGCGTAAATTTTTTGAGTTTTGAGAGAAGATACTATTACAATAAACTTATAAAATTAGACCGTATTTAAAATAATTATATCTATAAAAATATTATAAAGAAAAGTTTTGATTGATTGTCTGCATTGAATAGGCGCCGAAACTACTGAATCGATTAGAATTCTTTTACTGTTGGTTACTGTCCTCGCTTGACATAGGCTATATTTATTAATAATAATAATAAAACTATATTGCCATAAAAAAACTGAACAAAGTTATACAACACACAGTTATACTGAAATAGTGATGGCAAAGGGGGTGGCTCAGCTTTGCCAACACCGGTCAGATTCCAGTATCCAGTATCGAGTTGGCTTTCAGCTACCCCCTCTTACCAAGATGAAAAAGGGAGTATAGATAGTTGATGGTCGCTGTACATTAATAGATTTTTTTTAATTCCTCGTGAACGAAGTCGCGGGCGATTTCTAGTTATTATTGCAAGTAATGTTTTGTTTAATGTAACATTTTAGAAAGTTACATTTACATTTTTTTACGTTACATTTAAGTTACAAATTATAACGTATGCGTTGTCACGATTTTAGCATTAGAATGATACACCACGGCATAAATTTCTGAGTCACAATTCTGAATTAAGTGGGCTTACATTTGTACAATCACGTTCAACGAAGTCTGTTTTTATTTAAACGTGAAATAAAATGTATTGTAATTTTTTTAGAATACTAATCAAGCATTTAATGTTGCTATATGTTTAAGCGTAAAATTAATAATTCAAACGAACATACGGTCGTTTTT